AAATCGTAGAAATGCTTAACTAAAAAAGAAAATCTTTCAAAGTATTAAACCACTATTTAACAAACAAAAAAAAAAAAGAAAAAAGAAAAGTTCATGGAAAGATTCATATTATCTTTTAATTTTATTTTTCTATGGTTTTTGAAGTGCCCTTGTATTAGAAGTGAAATGTGCTAGGAAAAGAAAAATAGGTCATGAGCAGTAACAGGGTATGCTGGGATAGGGGTATAGCAATTTAAAGAAGGGTGGTGAGAAAGGCCTCAATAGAAATGTGGCATTTTAAAAAGTTCAAGGAAGTGAGGCAGAGTGCTTCTGGTGGACAGAAGCTCAGGTGCAAAGAACAACAAGAAGTCTAACGGGACTACAATGAAGTGACCTATGAAAAAACTAAAACTGGAAAAGGTCAGAAAAGTAATGGGGATTAAATGGATGAAGGACAGAGCTCCAGGGATGATCAGGGAGGTCCTGTCATCCCAGGAGCAGAGGAGCTGGACAGACTGAACCACAGCCAATGCTTGTACTTGCTAATGGTGCGGCCTTGGACACAATGCTCAAACCTCTTTGGTCCTCAGTTTCCTCACGTGAAAAACGCCTTGCACAATCTCTGCAAAAATTAAGTGACATAACAGATTTGTGAAGTTATCACATAGATGTAAAACTATATGAGCATAAAAAAACATTGTTCAAGAAATAAAAGTGATGTGGTTTAGACAAGTTAAAGTACAGTACTTTGGGGGAGACTTAAGTTATGAGAGCTCTTCAGTTATGGAATTTATGGATTCAATATATATCTATATACACTCCCCATGAAGATCTTGGTTTTCCAGCACCTGGTTTTAATTTCTGTGATGTCAAATTTTACTGCATACTACATAAGTTTAGCTAAGTTGATGTTCATGACCAAGTGGTCTCTAGCATTTTAAGATGTTCAGTCTGGCAGTTCTGAGTTAAAATCCGAAGATTTGCTCCTCTCAAGCTGTGTGACTTTGGACAAGTAACCTAACCTCTCTGTGCCTCATTTCAGTGTTTGAAAAACCATTAGTTGCAATATTTGTCTCAGAAAATTCTTGTAAAAATTAGATGACATATGTTTAATGCACTCATTTGTACAGAGGTTTGCATGTTTTATATATAAAATATTTGATGTTATATATTATCCTATAATAAATAACAATATATTAAGGTTGGATAAGCTTGTTGAAATTATAGCTTAGGAAGAAGAGGGCACATGTATAGCTTATTAAATGGTCATTACATTTAGTTAAATTGTTTTTCAGTTGTCGGAGTAGTCGACCCATATCAGTTTATACTGGCTTTCCAGAATCTACTGACCCCAGGGAAGGAAGTATAAACTCCAGGAGTCTAGGTGCAATGCTTCCATATCCCGCTCCCCACTGTTGCAGGAAGTAGTCAAAACAGACAGAAATGCCAGGCTTCCTGTGGGCTTCTGCCAGCTCACACACGGGACATTATTAGAAATCTCTGGGGGGAAACAAAAAGGTTTCCTTCCATTCTCCTCTAAGTCAGTGAATTGGCAGCAAATGGGGGTGGGAAGATGATTTGGGGAAGGCAAAACCCCGAGGCCTTGGGATGAAGGAAAGAACCACATGGGAGTGGAAGGGGTGGTGAGGATGGAAGAGGGTGATTCAGACCAGGAGGTGAGAGTCCAGTCACGCTGCCTCTCCACACAGAGCTCTCCACTGCCAGTCCCCAGCCCCACACGCTGCCCTGCCTGCCCTGGACATATTCCACCTTTCACTGGCCACTCCTGCCAATGCTCCAAACAACCCTCACATCCAAAGATGTACCTGAAGGTCCTTTCTAGTGAAATCTTGTATTTTACTTTTTTGCAAAAATATTTATCAAGTTATAACATGTGCATACCTCTTGACCCAGAAATTCCACTTTTGGTAATTTATCCCTCAAAATACACATATACATGAGTAATTAAAAGGTTAAACTGTGAGATGTCCATTTTATCACAGCTTACAGCGCCCTAGATGTAAAACTATAAATAATGTAAATGCCCATCACTATGGGTATTAGGCAATAAAAATGTTACAACTGAACAATGGAATAGAAACCACGTGAAACATGAAGAATAACGCGGGTCTAGCAGTACTGCAGTGGGAAGATGTCTGTGCTATTTCATTATGTGGGAAAAAGAAGTTGATACAGACAGCACCATCCCATTTATGTAAAATTTTCATTTATTTACATTCATTCATCTATTAGTGAAAAGATGCATATTTATTGAATGTCTGTTGTAGGCCTTGCTTGCTGTCCCTGATACTTGAGAAACAGCAGTGAGCAAAGTAGCTAGAATCCCCATCTTTGTCAAGTTGACAGTCTGGTGTTGGTAAGAAGAAAGGGACAGATAATGACCCAGCAAACAGAAATGTGGTAACACCTAAGATGGAAAAGGGCAAGAGATGATAATAAGGGGGGAGCTTTAGATGGATGTTTAGGGATGACCTTACTGAAGAGGCGACACTTAAAACATGAAGGATGAATTACCTACAGACAGACAGAGGGGCAGAGTGTTCCAGATGGAGAGCCATGAGATCAGAAATAGCTTGTGGTGTGTTTGAGAAACTCTAAGGAAGCTGGCTGGAAAGAAGGGAGGGAAGGACAGTCCCACAAAGTGGCTGGAGACCTAGGCATGGGCCAGACCATGGAAGACACGGGGATCCTGTATTAGAGAGTGGGCTTGACTTTACGGGCCACTAGAAGCCATTGGAGGGTGGTAAAGAGTGGGAGGGTGGTGTCCATTGAATAAAGAATGGATCAAAGGGGTCAAGAGCCCAAGAAGACAGGGTGGGGGCAGGGAGCCATTGCCACCATGACTGAAGGGGCAACAGTGTCTTGGCCCAGGGTTGTGGGGGTGGACATGGAGAAAGGAGGACAGATTCTGAATGCATCTTACCCCCCGGGGTGAGTTAGAGGAGGAAATCTGTCCGCATATCACATCCCTTGCACCGATAAACCCCCAGATCAAAAGCAGAATAGTTGCTGTAAAACACTAGTGCTTTTTTTTAGTTGATCTAATTCCCCACTGTGGGGATTGTGGAAAATCAAATAGAGACATCTCTGGGGATCACATACAAATCATTAGACAAGAGACCACAAGATGAGAAATATTGGCATCTTACACATCCTCTTTGTAGAATTGGGAGAAAGGGGTTTTATTTGGAATGAGACATGCACTGCTGTGTTTATTACCCTTTGGCTCCAAACAATGTCCCTCCAACCAACCTCAAATGCAGAATATGTTAGAAAGGGGGAGGGAGGGAAGAGTGACTCTCATAAGTGCCTGATTGTTCTGCACACCCGTGGGCAGAAGAAGTATGGCTGGAATTAGGGGGTAAGGGAGATAGGGGTGTGAAGCAAACATATTACTTTGAATGTCCACATTCAACAAGTTGCGACTGTGAAAAATCTGTTTTGTAGGACATAGTGGAAGACGAGGAAAAAGGACAAGAAATCGGAACCTTGAGTTGCTCCGTCCCCAGGGACCCAGAAGTAGTGGAGACTGCAGAGGTGGGCTGCCAGACCACAGATACAACAGAGAATAACTCTATCATGAGTTTCTTCAAAACTCTGGTAAGTAGTTTCCTCCTCTTTTTTTCTCAATTTTACTGTTCAAAAGTTGTGCTAATTTTAAGAGTAATGCATATTTGAACGCTGTGGTGCAGAATGGATTGTCATTAGCTGGAACATGGGAGAACAGAGACTGCATCAGGGATTTGTGTTACATCAGGCCTTCTGCAAAGGAAGCCATGATATGAACAGTGGGTGCCACACTATGTGACATGAGCTATGTTGTAATGGAATTCCATTGCAACTGGATGTTTCATGATCATTGACCATAAAAATAATTAGGAAATGTCTTCTTGTGTGTGTTGTCAACCTATCGAAGCAGTGTCACCATTCAAATGACAGATAAAACACTGTAGACATCACTTTCTATCTTGTTGTGTCTTCGTCCACCACTTTAATTGCATGCGGGCAGGGACCCCGTCTTTGCACTGTTTTCTCATCTCTGACGCCCCAGGGCAGAGCCCACAGCTTGGCACATGGCGGACACTCAAAACAGAGCAAAATGCATGGATGCATAATTAAATAGACAGCCCCAAATGTGTGTGAGCTATTTCCAAATATCAAAAGTAACTTCAAAAGATAAAACAAAACAAGTCAACAGAATGTGCCACAAACACGGAAGGGCTACACATGTGTTTGGAGGAATGGTTGAAGTGACGGGAAGTCTGTGGCCTTTCGGGAGACACTTTTGAATGTGGTCAAACTCTTAATGAATGTGGAAATCTACTCTAATGCATTTCATTAAAAAATATAAATGTTGTTAGCTTTTTTACTATCCAGAGGTCCTTGGGTTTCTACTGAATTAAAACTAGTTCTCATTTCATTCTTTGCCTGTATGAACTGCGTCATCCTAAAGAATTATGTGTCTGTGAAATAAAAATCACTCTAAAGAGCTATGGTTTTTAACACTTGGTTTTCTCAAATTTTTAAGGTTTCTCCTAACAAAGCTGAGGCAAAAAAAGATCCAGAAGATGCGGTAGGTAGTGTGAAGTGTGTACATATTGAGGTGTGTGCATAGTATTGGATTTGAATTTGTGTCTGCTCATTTATTCTTGAATATATATGTGTGAATATATGTTCCTATATATAGTTAGCAATTCAATAGTGCTGTTATATTGTCTTTAAAATATTTCATTTATGTTCATGGTACATTAATGAAAATTTTAGTGGTAAGCTTGAAAGATATGCCAGTCCTGGCTAAATGATGTCACAATAACCAATTTCTTATACAGAATAAGAGCAGAATACTGATATTTATATCATCTTATTCTTTTCAGTCATATATAGAGAGACTCAGGAAATGTAGTAAAAAAGACTCTATTTAGAGTAGACAAAAGCTGCTATATTTTTAATTTTTAAAAAAATATGTTCTCTGTGTTTGACGTTATTTGAAAAAAAATGAATCTCCACTGCAAAGACGATTGTTTGGTGAAATAAAATAGCTGCTGTGGGACACTAGCCAGACAGAGAGCCATGGAAAGGAGTTGGGATGCCACACAGGGCCTGGATTTTTCACTGTCATCCTGGAAGTTCAGCCAATTCCCCTAAAAATAAGTTTGATTTAGAATAACTACTCTCTAGAGATGTTTTCCCTTTATATTGGACAAGGCCTCTGGTGGAACACATGGTTTAAATTTCACGGGAACTATGAGGGAAGTTTAACTTGGTGACAGATGAGTGTCTTGGGTCTTTCTTTTGATAACTGACAGTGCTTGGAAAGACACTGCGATCAAATAAATGGCTTGGCCAGCCCCATACATCTGCTACCCATATTTGAAGGAGTTAGTTGTAAAAAAAGCATCTTAGATTTTGTCTCAGAAGCCCTGTGTTTGAACTCCAGTTCTGCTACTCAGTAGCGGTGTGATCCTAACCTATCTGAACCCAAGTCTCCACATCTGTAAAATTGGGACAATAAAAATTCTCTCTCCCAGACCCCAGGATTGAATGAAGGTGTTACAGTGCCTTGTAAACCATGGAGCTCTATATGTTCCATAATCACGTGCAAGGCAGGTGACATAATTACATTAGTGTTGTATTAATTGCTTCCTCTAGAATTTTCTTCTGCCATTGAAAAGCTATATATCGGAAGCATCCACATGCATTTTCCTATAAAATTATTCATTTGTCAAGGTCACCAGGGTCAAGTTCAATGAATGGTTAGGTCAAATGTTTGGTTCTGTCTTGCATTGTTGGAAACCATGTAGCCAGCCTAATATGCTCTAAACAGAGGGGTGTGTGGGTGTGTTGTATGGCTTCCCAAGTGACCTGATGCTGTCATTCTCTTCACATGGTCATGCACCAAGACTCTTCCCTGACCCAGAATATGGTCTCAGCTGAATGTACCTACCTGATAAAATCTCATTGTCCTGCCCAGAGAGCTGTGGGGTCACTGCAAGGGGAGCTGGTTCTCAAAAGAGGGTTTTGTGAATGTCAGTTGTCCAGGATACCCACAAACAGCCCTCTTTCCTATGAACCTAGTTCTCATTCCTGCCTTTTTGACATCTTTTCTATTAAAGTTCTTGGATTCATGCTTTTGAAAAGTCTGTACCATTTTTTAGTACCCTACATGCCCCACATACAACCCCCTGCTATTTGTAATTTGAGTCAACAATTTTGAGTGATTGTAGCTGGGTTATTTCTATTCTAATCTCCCCCACACGTTAGCTCAGTGGACTGGTTCTCACTAGACATTTCCTTTGCCTGGGAGATCTGCTCATCTAGAAGTGAATTGAAATTTTTGCAGGTAATATTGCTTGCACGAAATTTCTAATACCGAATCAAAGGAGATCGATTTGAAAATGATAGCCATTCAGCAACAGTATTTGCCTTAACTCCAGGATACAAAAATGAATTGTTTCTCTGCAGGTATTTCTTCTTTCCCATGTGATAACAGCATTTAGATATTTTAAACTACCAAGCAGGGACTGCATTATCTCTCTCTTTTTTTTTATTTGCATATTTTAAGTCATGTAGACAGAGCTTAAGTGTCCTATTTTTGTCTTTAGCAAATGGAGATGTGGGTTTTTAAATTTTATCTTGGTTTGGGTTTTTATGTTTTGTTTTTGTTTTTGAGATGTGTTAATCTGGGTCATTTAAATAGGCCATTTTGTTGAAAGTCAACGAGTACTTGAAATTGACTGTGAATATGCTGTTCAGCAAATCATCTTT